ACCAGACACTTCAAGGTCACATCGCCTTGACTTTACTAAACAACAAAAAAAACAATTAATACGTCATAGTGGTGAGGGGAGACTTAGAACCGGAAAAAAAAATATGAACGATACATGCACCAGACACTTCAAGGTCACATCACTTCGACTTCACTAAACAACAACAAAAAAAAGCAAGTAATACGTCATAGTGGTGGGGGGAGGCTCAGAACCGGCTCAAATCTCCTACACACGGTCTTGACATGGTACTTCGTTAACTCCTTGGAACTCCAGTTGGCAATCCATTGGATTACGGATCATGGACCTTATTGTACGTTCTGGTACGAATAATGCTGCTATATTGTGATGGAAGTATGGTACGATACGTTAGTATCTCGGGTTTTCTGCTGTTTCTGTGTGATCTTGGAAGCCGCTTTTATAATGATTCAATCATACAGTTGTCTCGATAGTGTTCAGCTCTTGTTGTATATGTTCGTTGTCTGCCAGCCTCCTTGAACATGTAATTAGTGTTTTCGCTACCGAGTGAATTTGTTTTGGGTGGTGGTGTGAATTTGCGTTCAGGTATCTATCAGAGTGTTTTGCTTTGCGATATACCGTGTCACCTAACCTAGAATTCCGTCCTGCTTTTTCAACTTCCTTCATGAATTTGATCCATCGATGGATTTCATTCAAGCGATGGGAAAAACTTGAAAGTTTCTGGTGTCCATGTGATCACATTCTGAAAATGTGGTCGACATTTTCAGCCAGAGTTTTGGTTTCAAGTCTGACGTTGCAACTGCTTTGGTTCAGATTTCTTCCATAAAAAGATTGGCAATAATCGGTGATAGTGGCGGGCCCATTTGGGCAGCACCCTCAATTTTTTTGCATCGTTAATCATTATAGATTTATTACGTGTTTATGATGGAATGTTCAATTCAATGTCGTAAGGATATCGTCCGGACTAACGATTTATGTTTTTAATATCTATGAAATGATCGGCATTGCGAACATATGATTCGACCTTTTCCGTATGTAGTTGAAGTGCATGAGTAATGTGTTTCGATAATTGATGCAATGGTGAACCTACCGAGCTCACGATTGGTCTAAGTGGTGCTCCTTTTTTATGGACTTTGAGGACACCAAAAAGTGTAGGAGACTTAGAGATGATTTCTCACTTGAAATCAGATGCTTTTCGATTTTGTCGTTCATAGGAGAATTATTGATGGCAGTTTTTGTGGTCTTCTCTAAATAGGTAGTTGGGTCTCTAGCTATTTTCTTGTAGGCTAGGTCCTCTAGTACTTTCATCATTTTGGTTTCGTAAGTTTTTGTGTTCAACACTACTGTTACATTGCCTTCATCTGCTAAAAATATGATTATACGTTTAGGAACAAGAACAATCCTTCTCCCCCTTTCTACTGACCTGGGCGCTAGATAGCGGTAAAGTTCCTTGAACCCACAAGGATCCATCGGATTCTTCTAGAACTATGGGTTCGAGCAGTTTTAAGGTATCGGGTGATAATTTTCTTTTTCTGAAGTTTTCCATCCGATTGGCATTGTTAGATTATCCCTAACACGTTTAGGCGACGAGAAGGAATATAATATTTTTGGCAAAATTCCTTGCTTGCCTTACCAGTTACTTTTTAGCAGTAACTGCCATTAGAATATATTTATTCCAATGAATTTGACTCTTCTCATTTCTCAAAACAAATTTAGGATTCTCCGGAGTATAAAAGTCAATAGAATAGAAAGCATAAGGTGATGATAAAGGACTCACAAGAATGCAGAGGATATAGACTCAGACTGCATATGCTGGACATGCCAACAGCAAATGCATAATGATCTCAAGTTGTGGCAAACAAAAATTAGGTAAGTCTTGAAAGCATCTCCGCAAAACATCTGTGTGGAAGAATGCTCTGACAGTGGGTCAGTTCAAAACGTAAACATCAGACGATCTGACGATAGGCCTTGAGGACCCTAGAGTGACAGCGACGAGTCAAACAGAAGTATCATCGGTGAATAGGCGGTAACACAATGAAATAATCGAGAATCGAAATAATTAGGAAAGATTATTAATGTCAGTCAGTAAAGTTTGAAGTAATATTTATAGTGTCATAAATTAGATCGTTTTGTTCTCGCCGGCAGGCAGAAGTAACGAAGTTTTCACCTGTTTCCAGATTATATTAAAACTCTAGTCCAGTCTTGTGCAAATCTCCCATATCAAGTTAGTGAGAGATCTAAAAATAGAAGTAGTGTCAGTTTCCGGCCACCTAAAACTTTACTCCGGTTTTTTCAAGTGTAAAAATAAAAATAATGTGTTTTGAATAAAATCTGAACGACTTACTACGGAAAATCATGCGAAAACATGATTGACGCGACCGAATTGGAGAGTCCCACTTCTGGATCGAACGATTTTATTTTAGCGAAGGCATTTTCTCAGTTCACCGAACTCAGGATTCACTAACTTTTCCTTATCATGACTGTTTGCATATGTGAGTAAACTGTAAACATCGTCCATCAAACGCGTAAATCTCCAAACTACGATTTTATGTATTCGGTATTAAACTGATTTACCAAGAACAAGTGTGAGAAATTAATAAGAATGAAACTAGTCTCCGTTAAAAGATTATGATACATTATCGTTTTACCTCTGATGTTCACCATGAATATTAGAAAGATGAATCAGATATACTAGATACTTTACTTTACTATTAACAATTTACTTGTGTTAGTTATTTTATGTGTTTGATAAAAACGACTCATGACGAGTTTTTGCACGATTTATTCACAAAAGCGAGTATGTTTTATGACAAGTGTTAGTATGGTTCATTTGCAGAAATGGAATTGATATAAAACTTTAACTCGATTAAATATTCTGGTTTATAATATAGAATGCTCAACTAGGATTATTTGTCCTCATATCCCTTAAGTTACGCTCGCTATCTGTAATGGTTAACATCCTGTTCATGGTTTGAAACCGGCATTGTATACGTTTTTATTTGTTTTAATATATTTTTAAAATCTACGTTTGTCTTGCTGATTGTCAACACCTGGCTAGCCAAAGAATTGTCTTGCTTGTTTGGAAATAGCCGCTCGTTTCCAAGCGAGTTTCTCTGTGTCCTCGCCCCGACGTTTCGGCTACACTCTTCCGTCTTTTACTACACTAACTGCTCCCGTACTGTCGACAAATAGTATAAGGAACCACCGGTGGCGTGTTCCCTGGTGCAACAGGTATTTGTATAGTTGTCAACTATTGTATCGCACCTTGTATATGTACCAAAAAGGGGTCATGACAAAGTTCCTGGTGTTAAAGACTGTCTATAACCATAACACGTCTATGGTAGATCAAGGTGTTGAAGACACTATCCTGGCAGGCCATGGTTTCTGACTTCAGCCCAGTCGAACTGAGAAAAGTAAAAATCAAGTGATTTGATCCAAGATCTTCAATGTATTTTTAAATAAAACTGCATACATCAGTTTATCGGTTTGTAGCATCAAAAGTAAAGTAGTATCTAGGGCCTTGGTGTCTGTATTTTGCTGAATGGGTTTCAACTCCAACTCGTTTAGTGTCAAAAATCAATAGAAATAGGTCACACACAAAAGAGGATCCGAACTTCTGATAACTTTACAGGTTCTCCCGATATTTGAAACTTCATTTTTCGTTTTCACATCTCACTTCTGAACAAGATTCCAGTCCAGAATATCTTATGGGAAATACGCTAGTAAACACTTCATTCATTTTGTGATAGATACTCATTTTTTATGAATCGCTTTCGATTTTACTGTGGATTTGTTGTTGATCTGAGAGCTCCAGCTGAGCAGAGAACAAGAAATGAGATATATTGCGAATTGAAATTGTAGTGCTTTGAACCCTACTCTCACCTTATTTCTCATTGTTGTATTTACTAAACTAACAAAGTTAGTATAATATTTATATAACAAAATAAAAGTCAACTCACCTCAATCATTTCAATTTTTCCAAATACAGTGATATCTGGAATAGATGTATACCAGGTAGACAGATTTCTCTTTATTGCAATGTTAAATGACAAAGGTTTCAGTAACGAACTTTCTGTAATGGTTTGGTATTCTTCATTCAATTTAATCCTAGAAACTTTTAGATCAGTCAATGTTATTTTCAAATCATCGACAACAACTGGATGTTCTTCATTTTCAACATCTAGATTCAAAAATGCATTTGATAGTGTAATAACTCCCATATCCAAGAGTAAACAATTATAATTTTGAGAGTCAACTGGAAAAAGTATTATTGGGGCTTTCAGATTTATATTCAGAGAAACTTTTGTAGCTTTAGTATAAACTTCTTTCATGTTCTCCTTGGCAGTTTGAGCAGCAGCTTGGGAAGCCTCGATAATTTTCTGTTGGGCAGCTTGGAACTGATTAAGAAAATTCTGAAAAAGTGGAAAAAATTAATGTAAGAATATTTTCGGCGGTATGCCTTTATAAAATAACAATGTAACGTTTGATTCTGTTCCATCTGAGCTACAATGGAAAAAATATTCTTGTCGATGGAAGTCGTCCCATCCATTTCAATAGTTTCAACAGACAAACTGTCGAATATTTGTAAAATGAGGAATGTAATATACCAGTTAAAAGTTGTTGAGAAATAACAAAAACTAGGGGATCCAATATTCTAATACAAAATTCATGGTGTAGAAAAATATGAAAGCTAGATTTATTTATTTTTTAATTTCACAACCAAATTTCTGAAAATTGATGGAAAAAAATACATGCAAGTTGTAACATTCTTCAACAATTACAATATGAAAATTGTAAAAGAAATTCCCAATTCCACTACAAAATGTTTTGAAAATTGATAGATTCAATTCTCGTCGTAGTAAAAGCCGAAGAAGTACCTAGTTGTTGTATGACGAGTAATCACCATTATAAGCCTATGTTGTAGGTGTATATGAGAGTAAAAACAGAAAAATGTTATTATTATTATCACAAAACAAGATTTGTTCATTTGAAAAACTCTATGAAAATCAAGTATTATGAATGCTCCTGAGGAAAAATGATTTCATTATAAAGTGCAGAAACATGCGTATATTTTTTTGCCATCATTGACCGCAAGCATTATCCGGTTATTACTGATAAAATGCATGTATTGATTCATATTCAAACTTGAAAATATTATAATCGCACTCAGATGAGATGCATACGTAATATTTAGAATTGTAGCAGTTTAAATATTTTGTCTCCATGCTTCGTTCACTCGGGCTGTTGATTGTATACTAATTAAAGTCATATATTTGAAACATTGTTCGAAGTAATTTTTTGATCACGTTGAAGGTTATAACTATGAGTCATTAGTTTGGTACTACTCATCATTTAGCAACGAATGATAAGACAGTGCAGTGAGTTTTATCCTTCTAATACATCAGATAATAAATTTTTATTGAATTTAAGGTACATTTACAACTTTATATATACATGTATCAGTTTGAATAACTGTTCATCAAACTTCAACCTGGCATTATTGAAAACTGATGTGATAAATGAATAGAGATTGAAAAAATCATGGTAAAAATGTCTTTTGATATGCTTACACAACTCAGTCTCCAATATATGGTCAAATGTTGAAGTTTTTGTGTGAACACATATTTTTCCGTCGCAGACAAATGTATGTGAAATGTCACGACACTTTTTTGAAGCAAACGAGAAAAAAATAGGAGGCTATGTTTATTAACTTCAACATATTGAAAGCATATGGTATTTCGCAAGTATCGGTTTCATATATATTTTTTAGTATAAATCATTTCATTATGGTACGTCATAAGGATCAATTACATAGGGGAATTGTGGCGTACCACTTCTTAGAATATTTTTAGGAATGTTGCTTATAAACTATATAACTTATAAATTATTTCATTTTGATATGCCTCAAGGTTCAATTACATAGGTGAATTGTGGTGTGCCAGTTTTCATAATCTTTTTTATAAATTACAACTGCAGTATACCCAAAGGATCAGTTCCATGGATATTTCTTAGAATAAATCATTTCATTTTGATATGCAGCAAGAATCAATTACTTGGTGAATTGTAGTGTTCCATAGTATTTTCGAAAATATTGGGTTATAACTTTTCATGGGCACTGAAAAGGTTGAAACGAGGGATATAAGATACAAATAAAAAAATCAGGGGCTTCCTTGATGATTACACAAGTAACCGAAACGTTATAACTTTGATGAAGACTCAAATAGAATTTGAAACGGTCTGCTGATGATGATAAAGTAACAAACATGTTGGAACTCTGATGAAGACTTTGATAAAGTTCGAAACAGTGTACTCTGATGATGAATAAACTGAAATAATGGGGCTGTAACTGAGAAATGGGAAGTGAAAAAGGTGAAATGTAAAAGCACAAATATTTATGAAAAATTCAACCGAGGAATGGAACACTGAAATTATATTTTTCATGTGTATATGAAATCATTTTTATCGCTATATCGTTCCGAAGAGGGTACGTAACAATTTATCAAGAAGCTGTTTATCTTTTTTTAAGCAATGCAATGGCAATGAACGCAATAGATTCGGCGGTTTCATAATCACACCTTGTGTTATATTTCGTAATCGATTAGATAATACAGCATCATGATGAGTAATTTCCGTGTATTTTAAACATTTTCAATATCTTTTTGGTGCAACTTTCGGATTTTGAAAAGTCAGAATGAAGACATTATTACTTTTGGTAATCCATTAGCCAATTGTTNAAAGCACATTGGTTTATAGGTGAGTTATTTCATATAATGAGTTTAGGTTCCCAAAGAATAAAATGATGAGAAAAAAAAATGAGTGAAAGTATTGAAAAGAAAGAACTACAATCCTTCTACTCTTCCACTCTATAGAAATCATTTAAAAAGTGACTATAAATGAAAGGGAAGGGGAACGAAAATATTGAATTTGATGACACAGTTTTTTATTTCAACTTCAGGTATTCTTCTCATAAAGTATTATCTGCAGTTAATACTGTTGCTGGGAATATGAAACAAAATTAATTAACATTTTTGCAAAAAAATCAAATGCTCTCCATTATACTTCATTAAATTTTATCATATGAATAATGGTATTGATTCAGAAGCTTTTGTTGGATCAGTTCCAGTACAATCAATTCTATCTATACGTGACCTCTTTCAACCTTTCTTTCAAGTTTTGGAAGATTAAACAGATTACCAAAGCGAGCGTATAACGCTTGAATTTAGAAGCAATATTAGAAAGAGTTATGTATGTAGGAATCGTTTTTTTTTATAAATTGCAGTTGGACAGATTGAGGATACATTGAATATTTGAAATGATTCTTTAATCCAGTTTGCTATATTTTTCGATTTTCATAACTGTATATTTATTATCGAATAATGCATAAAATCATATTTTAGGTAAATATTTTGTGATCTTTCGACTTTGTGTACTGATTTTAGATATAGAATTTATTTCCAAACATGATTTTTCGTGTACATTTTATTCCATGTGGAGAATTTTTCATTAACTGAAACGTTAACGGGTTCATATACACTTCCATAATTAAATGGATAATTATAGGCTTCGTAAATTTTACGATTTGGCAATGTTGATTATTTCTATTGTTCCTATTGGTCAATCGAACAAGAATCGGGAATAGGCCCTTGACGTCATCGGTCAACCACATTGAATTTTTAATAATCAATTACGGGAAAACTACGGTACTCAGAGACCTGAAACAAAGTGCACTGTTTATCAATTTGAAATTTCTATCAAGTGAACTATAAACCAAAAATCATGAAACAAGCCCATTCGATAGCTTCAGGTTTTTTTGAATGTGTTAAAAGAACCTGCCTTTCCCTAATAAAAGTCAAACAATGGTTTTTCATCCAGAGAAATTGTTACTTTCAAAGAACTGTATTTTATCTAGTTGTTTATATGTCTTTTACACATCCTTTTAGCTCATGATTATTCGAGGCAATTTTTAAAAACTTGAAATTTGGGCATGATACTATCAATATGAAGTTGTGTTTCAATACAACATTTTTCATTGTTTAGTTCAAACATTTTTATTGAATTACTGTCACCTCAACAAGTCTATATGCGTAACTGCACTAAAGTCTTGTTTCAATGCACCATTTTTTCTCTGCTTCGTTCGAAAATTTCTATTGCTGAGTTCCGTTCATATAAAGTCGTGTTTCAATAATTTTTTATCGTTTATTACGCAAAGAATTCAATCTTTCATACAATATTTTTGTTTGTTTAACTGAAAATTGTGTAGGATGTCGCATTGAAGTGTTTGAGAGAAAAATATATAGCATAACCTTTTGAAAAAATGTATACAGGGTGTTTTATTGATGTTTGTTGAAAGAAAAAATTATACAAGGTGTTTCAAAATATATATGAAAACAAAATGATAATATGAGGTGACGAGGACCTCAGTTTTCAACGTGCGATCCCTCAATTTGTACATGATGTCTCAAAATACATCATTCCTGAAAAACATGACTGCATTAACGTGTTTAGAAAAGTAATATACAGAACGACTCATTTGAAAACTTATACAGGACATCTCATTGAGAAGAAAATTATATACAGGGTGTTCCAAAAAACAAGGCGACTCAGTTTTCAACGTGCAATCCCAATGAAAAACAACGTATACAGGACGTTCGCAAAAAAAACATGGCGACTGGAGGATGACGAGGACCTCAGTTTCCAACATTTGATCCCTCAATGGAATACATCATTTCATCGTTTAGTACGCAGAGTTCATTCTCACATTCAATATTTTTTTGTCTCTCCAGCTTATTATTCATAGATATGATTCGCATAAAGTTGTGTTTCTATACAACATTTTTCTCCGCTTCATTAAACATTTTAATTGATATTTTCCATTCAAGTCTTTAGTAAGCATCTTTAATAAGCAAATAGTTCATTCTTACATACAATATTTTTTCTTTGTTCAGTTCAGAACATTTTTATTGATATATTTCACTACAAAACTACAAAAAAAAATTAGTGTCCGACCGAAACTGATTTTTACGACCGAAACCGAAAACAAATTTCGGCAACGGTCTCAGTTTCGGCCGAAACCGAAACCGAAACTTCCTTACAAGGATTATGTTTTGAAGGAAAAATAAAGAAAACGTTATTATAATCAGTCAGTCTATATTTTTTTATCTTTAAATCACAACGTTATGCAGTCTTCGACATTTTTACTTATTGATAATCAACATAACAAACCCTTGTTTAAGAAAAAATATTAATTTCCCCTTAAAAAAGGTGAGGTGTTTATTTGAGTAGGTGTAGATCCTTCTTTTGAATATTATTAATGGTTTTTCAAAAATATTAAACATTAATTACTTATTTAAGTTGTTACCTAATATTACAATAGGTACTTAATATTTATGTAATGAACAAAGTAAATCATAAA